TCAAGTGTTTTTTGAATTATGTCCTTATTAAAGTAATGAATAAATAATTATGTCCCTTCAAAAGAGACATAATTGATTTGCGAAATTTTATATGCTAAATAGTTTAGGGACCTATTCTTAGCTAGCATTAAACTCACTGCAAATTGCATGTGAAAAATATTGTTTATTTTCAAATATATATCTTGTAATATACAAATAAATAAAGAAATAGTATTTATCTATCTCCAAAAAACTGTATAGAATTAAAAATAATAATTATATAATACAATTAGTAATTTAAAATTTATTAGATTAAAATTAAAATTTTTATAGACCTGTAAGTTTATAGTACAGTGGTACTTTATAGGTCAAATTATAAGATAATGATTCAAATCCTCCAGGAGGCTAACATGAAATCTCAAATCAAAAAAAAGAATCGACATCTTCTGATTGCTATCACAAGATATCAAATTCAATTTCAAGTGAAGGCAATTGGACCATCTCAATATGATATCTGATATCATAATCTAATATGCACTGTTTCTTATAAGAAGTCAATTTACACATTGATTTAATGGATGTTAAGGTTGTAATATCAAGAAAGGTATAGCAGCATAACGATTATTCAGCAGTGTTATGATAATCATTGTCAAGTTTGATACTTTCCTGTTTCTTATGCATGGAGCATGCTTCCTTACCTCTTTAGTTCATGATACTATAAAAGAAACAATCTGATTTTTCAAGAGATCAAGCTAGAGCCACAAAGACTCCTTGTTGGATATGGCTAGTTCATGGCTGATCATATTAGGATATGATTCTTTGAGTTTCTATTTATTGGATAGTGGATGGAACTGGAAAGCATACATCCTGGCACATTAGTATTCTACCTATGCTATCAGGATCTTGATGTTGATAATATAGGAAGAATGGAGAATAATAAGCTGACCAGTAATTAGGAATAATCTTAACTTAGATAACTTTATCAAATTGACATAGTGGAAAATTTGTATAAAACAAATTTATACATGCTAATTCTATTATACTTAATAAAGCAAGGTGTACACCAGTCGTTGAAAAAAAAAATTAAAAATTTTGATAATTTTGATTATGGTTAATACGATTATCGTTATATTTATAAATCATGTTTACAGTGAACAAATAAAATGATTGACTGATATTAAATGTTTTACTCACTTATAGTAAATCGCTTTTAAAAAAAAAAAAAATTTTTTTCTGTCTTCAATTTGTTTGTTATTTGGTGATTTAACTATTGACAAAGTCGTGTATTATTTAAAAATAGCGATATCTTATCTAACGTATACATGTACATACAGTATATACATATCTAAATAATCTTTGACTGTACTATTTTTGTTCATTTAAACACAAATTTCATTAACGGCAGTTTTCCATTGCGCTTGCTACCGGTCTAAGGTATATAAAAAACAATCGCTAAAAATAATTTACACGTTCAAAATTTGTTAGCCGATGACCTTGGTAAATTTTGGTATTGCGCAATATTTTTGTGTACGTTGTAAACCAGTACTTTTTGGCTTTGTGATCACACAGTACAATAAATCATTTTCGTTCGTTAAATAACATATTGCCGCCGATCATTTCGGACGCAAGCACCCCAAACTCCAGTAATGCATAATATGACTGTTTTAAGAACAATATTATCTTATAAATTTTAATATTAACATTTATACTGTACATATTATTACACACATAATAACAATGACTCCAACTTTCCGAAATTGTGAGTCAATTCCGAGTACAGTGACACTTAATATCTAATCATTTTTGAGGGCCTGAGGGAGAACTTGTTTGCAGAAAATTACTGTAGTTTATTTTATTTTTTTTTTTTTGGTTATGATTTATCTTCATCTTCTAGGCTTCATGGGAAATTTATTCGCAAAGTACCGATGTGTATGTAAGTTCAAGAGTTCCGAAAACTTAGCCAGTATCTTGCTATATTTTACGTAACACATAATCTTATTTATTAAAAAAAAAAAAAAGTTGAAACCTTATTAGAGTATATTTTTTTATGAAGCATAACAAAAATTATTATTATTATTTTATTTTTATTTTTTTTTTTTTTGCGCTACTTATTTGCCTTCACGATGGCTTTCATGCATAAAAAGAAAAATAGCTCGATTCGAGAGATTGGGTTTGTAATTCGATTTATTATGGAAAAGTACGCTTATGTGATTTTTTTTTAAAATTTAATTCATTAAGTATTTTATGATGTTTTTTTTTGTTACGTTAGTTGACAATTATATAAATATTGTATATACTGTATATATATATATTTCTATTCTTTTTTTGAGAGGAAGAATAAAATGATATGATAATTAACTTCTTGCACCACAGACCCATCTCGTAGATTTTTTCTTTGGAGGCTCGTTCTGTATAATTAACACTTCTCGTGGTTCGGATAATTGTGCGAGAGGTTCTTTGCCTTTTATAGGTATGATTTTTGTGGAGGGCTTTTTGTTTGAGTTGTGCCTAAAGATCGACCTCATGACTCTATGTGCAGCTGACTCGTTTGGATAAAAGAAACTTGATGAACATTCGAACGATTGCGGTGTGATCCATCGTTCACTGGTACGCATCCTTTGAGTACTCTCAGTGACAGAGTAGGAAAACCAATAAGGAACTCTGAGATGGCATGAACCATTTCCAACTCGATATACTTCTTTCGTTTTTTGACACATGCTGTTTGAATTCTTCACCGACAAACGACAAGGTTCCTGCAACAGCTTACCCCTAAACGGACCAGCCTTTAGGGAAGAACTCCTGATGTCAGGTTGATATTCTCCGTCTACATTTAAGATTATTCGCCAAAGCGAAGGATTATATGATATGGGAGAATTGCTGAATTTCAGAAGTGTCTCTGTCTTTGGTTTGAATATGAAGTTTCCGTTCTTTTTATTTATGCCGTAAAATTCAAAGTCCACGTTGAAGTGACGTTTATGTTCTTGTTCGAAGCCAAGCAACAGGCTGATGTTGTTTTTCTTGAACGTTTTGGCCAAATAAATCTTTGCAATTTCCTGAAACAAATTGCACACATTACTCAGGCTGATCAATGATTGAAAGTCGAACTCTTCAAATATCATACGTAGGATTTCGTTCGGAAACGTGAGAAGGGAGATATTTGAAGAGACTGATTTGTCTTTGTGATAGGACATGATTTATAAAATTTCTACGTGACGACCGAAATTTGTAAAATATTTATATAATGACAAGAATAATTCAGCTTTACAGTTTAAGGAGATGAAACCTCGGTATTTGATAAGTGAAAAAAGAGAAGTTTTATTGTGTCAATTTATAAAGGCAAAGATTTTATTTTTTTTTCTTTCCGAAACCAAAAGAACATATTTATACAGAAAAGATAATTTCCTTTTGACACATGGTTACACATCCTTTTTCCTTACAAAGTGATTTATAGCCCAATAAACGAGGTTCCTTAATGACACTTGTGCAATCGGTGGCTAATTGTTCGGAGAAGAATAATGATGATCGATACCCAATGCATGAATAAACAGGCATTGTGTAAAAAAATTTCTAGTTGTCCATTTTCTTCAAGCCGTTACAAGGATTCTTTGGTCACTTTCTGTTGAAGAACACGTGTAACCTTCTCCATGTTTATGCATTCTAGTTTTGTAAAAAAGCGACCGAAGCGCGCACCAACATCTGCTAACCCGTTCATTGTGGCAAAGAGTACACGCATCAATAAAAGATGTAAAAGGAAGACTCGACTCCATTAGTGTCACGATAATAAAAAATTCTATTTATATCAACTACCCAAAGCGCCAAGTGGCACGCATGCCGGTTAAAAACTTCAGTAGATGGCGCATTCGACCAATGGAAAAAGTAAGTGTAGAGCATGCACAACAATGTTCGATGCAGTAAATAAAGATGATCATCATCTTTTTCAATGAGATTTGGCATTGTACGGATTGACCTTCCGATAGTTTCGTACCAATGTTTTTGTTTCTCGTACACAAATGTCGTCAAGTGAATGCGTTATCAAGTACCATCTGCGAGTGGTTTCATTCTATTTTCCATTTCAAGCTAATTCGCAACAATTAGTATATTAGCCCGAATCCCCATTATTGAACACCCTAGCCACACGTATGACATTTATTTATGTGTTCTGGAAACGGAAACACATCACGTTGTGAAAACGCATTGAAAAATCGCGTAAATTCTTTGTTTTTGATACGGAATAATTCTTTGATGTCAACACCACACACATTGGACTTTAACGGACGAATCAAATTGGTCGACTATGCTCCACCTAATCATCCAATAGTGTGGTTAAATATGCAAGTAGAAAAGTTATCGTCGAACTTCCCTTTTATGTAAGCTCATTGAAAGAAATGCCTACTACGTTCCTTGTTTGGGTAGACAGAATGACTTGTGTAAAAAGATGGATCACGGGTAATGACGCGTAATTATACATATTATACACTGATTTACATAAGCTATTAGTTGTCAAAACTTTGCCAACTTATCATAGACGCCAAGTGCAGTTTCTGTGACCTCATGGACGTTGGGCGTTGTTCAATGACCTGCAATAAATAACTGATAATGCAGGGTTTTCAGGATACAACTTATCTAACTCAAATGTCTCAATTAATATTTGGAATATAGAATCATATTAATATATCATTACTATTCTTGTCTTACGTCTCTTGTCACTATTTTAAAGCAGAAAAACCCTGGCCTTGGAAATTCAAGTTTGATTTGTTTCTTTGTCATCCATTTAATTCTTTCTGGAGTGACAATGGAATTCTAGAGTTTTTGCATCGTATTGTTTGATAGAATAGGTAAAGAAGGTACGGTCAACTGTCTTTGTGCAATCAATCATATTTATTATATCACATGATT